AGTTATACAAGAAGGAAGAAGACTCACCGATGGTTGGGAAGCCTTCGCCCAAGCACACTCCCTTTGCCTCGGTGACATTCTCGTGTTCAAAAAGGAAGGAGACATGGTATTTCATGTGACTCCTTTCGGTCCTAGTTTTACTGAGATTCAGTATACACCTCATCAAGGGGATGATGCTGCGGATGGTGCCTCAACTTCCCCGTCTCTTCCTAAATGATGGATGTTTGTCTTGCTATCTTCTTATTGTAATCTGCTTCTAGTGGACTTCTATGTTGTTGTTCCGTTGTTTCAATTTGTTTTTAAACCTATGACTTGTAATGGATGATCAACTTTTATAACTACAACTCCTTTTGTCCTCTATGTACAAACCAATTTTAATTATTAGTCGTCTAAGATGTCTAACACAAATTCTTAAAACATATTCGAAAAGCCTGGGCGACTTAGTAGACGACTGATATTTAAGTCGTCTGGAAAGTCATCAGCCGGAAGATTTGTCAGACGACTTAATTATTAGTCGTCTAACCTCGTAAGTATTCTATTCAGACGACTTTCAACTAAGTCGTCCAGACTCCTTAGTTTATGTTTTAGGGTTTAGGGTCTGGACGACTTATAATTAAGTTGTCTGGTAAATATATTTAATAAGGCAGACGACTTAGTCGTCTTATAGTATCAACAGACGACTTAATTATTAGTCGTCCAAACCCGATTTTACCGAATTACTTTTAAACCGAACCGGTTTTTTTACCGGACATATATAAGCAGTTTTTTTTTTTACTCACTTTTCGCGAAATTCAGAAAACCGTAACCCCCTTTCTCTCAAAAGTGATTTCGAGGCGATTTCGATCCGATACAAGACCAAGGTAAATCGAAGGCTTCTCTTGCGGATTTATGGGTTTTTATTAGGATGGATGTTGTTTTCCTTTACTTTTACCGTTTTGTTTTGTGTTTTCAACGATTTCTGGAAATTTTGGTTTCAAATTAGGGTTTCAAAAATTGGGGTTTTCAGTCGATTTGTTGTTTANCGATTTCGATCCGATACAAGACCAAGGTAAATCGAAGGCTTCTCTTGCGGATTTATGGGTTTTTATTAGGATGGATGTTGTTTTCCTTTACTTTTACCGTTTTGTTTTGTGTTTTCAACGATTTCTGGAAATTTTGGTTTCAAATTAGGGTTTCAAAAATTGGGGTTTTCAGTCGATTTGTTGTTTAGTTAGGTTGGATTTAGTTTTCCTCTCATTCGTCTGGCCAGCTTTCAAATGTTCTAATCGCGCTTCTTTTTTCACATCTATTTTTGCAGTTCTATAACCGCTATGTCGAAGGCGAGTACATCTTCTCCGAATTTTCAGGTCAGCTTTCAAATGTTCTATTGGAAGTCTTTGTAGACTTATAATTAAGTCGTCTGGAAAGTCTTCCACCTGGAAGATTTTCCAGACGACTTAATATAAGTCTTTCGACTGGAAGACTTGACAGACGACTTAATTATAAGTCGTCTGGAAAGTCTTCCAGACTTATAATTAAAGTGTTATACTGGATGGTTGTGTGTTTGAGATGGTTTTATTTGATTTTTTTGCAGAATATTCCCGAACTCCCCCGTAGGATACATACACTAGGGCAAGAGCCTAT